ATCAATTTAGAACGTGTGAGGTAATTAATAAAATTTAGATAAACTATACTCCCTCCGTCCCAATTTGTTTTGCAAAGTCAACATTTTTTGGTCAACTAATAATAAAAGTCAACCCTTCTTATGTATAATTAATTCGATTTTTAATAAATAAAATTTACATATTCATAAACTACATCAAAATATCTTCAAAGTTGTAAACTCCAAATTACAATATAATTAAAAATTGACTTCTTAATTAAGTAAACAAAACACGACTGTTTGACCAAGAAAAGTCAAATTTGCAAATCAATTCGGGACGGAGGTAGTAATTAATAGTACAAAATTAAATAATTTAAGCATACTTCGGTCCGGTTCGGTCCGGTACCGGTTCTCATTTTATGAGAACCCGTCATGACATTGTTTTGGAATCGGTACGATCCGGTTCGGGACAAAAAAATTTGAGATCCGTTTCAAACCCCGTTTATCGGTCCGGTACCATACCGGTCCGGTTCGGTACCATGCCGGTTCGGTATTTTTGCCCACCCCTAGCAAACAATACCCAAATGTCCAAAATCCAAGATGCCGTCAAAGGTCAAACTGTCTACAAGATCATATTTTTTCGTTCGTAAATAGAATCGTTTTTCGCACCAACAATTACATTTATTTGTATGTGATAGAAACAATCTTTCTTTTTTTCGCTACGAAAATTATTCTCTTTAGAAAACGAAAAAAATTGACTGGCGTGTAAAATATTGTGTACAAATTACTATGTACAAACAATATTTCTCAAAATTGTTAGCTTGCACAAAATGTATTTGCCATCCAAAAAATCCATTTCTACATGAAGTTTGTACACATTTGACACACATTTATACGTAATTGTCAGTGGTAATAGAAAATGTATACACCCCTATTTGTTTGTACACAAGCAACTCGTACATCAATTATCGTTGTACAAAGATATTAAGTATATAAATGTGTGCCAAGTGTATACAAATTTTGTGTACACAAAGAATTGTTGATTTACAAGGGTACAAGAGTGTACACTTTATATAAATTTACTACGTAGTACGGAGTATAATTTATAAGAGTCGGTGACGATCACTATTTTAAGTTTGTGGGTCTTATCATTCAAATGTTTTCATCAAAAATACTTTGATTTCAAGCTGGATTGTTTAATACGTAGTAATAAAGACAGGTAAGGAACTCTTAATTGAATGGAATTGGCTGAATCAACTGTACAAGTTCATTTTAACTATTTCATACTCCCGTCCCATTTTGTAAAATATTTTTTCTATTCATTTGGTCAACACAAATAACTCTCAATGTCTTACTTTATACGAAGTATATCAAATTTTTATCAAATTTTATTCTGGTTTTTGCGACTTTATAAAGTTTTTAATGCAGTTTCTGAATATGTATTTCTTTTTTTCTAAAAAAATTGAGTGCGGACAGGGATCCATCTGTTTTATCGTCAGTCAAACATCGTAAACCGTAAAGTGCCTTACAATTCGGGACGGAGGGAGCATAACTTTTTTCGCGATAAATAATTTAAATAGCCTGAACTTTTGAGGAAAATGAGGTAAGCACCCCAAACTTGCATGGTTAGTATAAGTACCCCAAAATTTTGTGTAAAATGTTACCTTAGCCTCATGATCGATCATATGTATTTTCTTTCAAAAATGTAAATTTATAGTGTTAAGAAACAAATGATGAATATTTTTACCAACCCTTATAATGGTTAAGTTATGAGACACATGTATATATTTATCAAAAAGGATATTTGTACTGTCACTTTTTACTCATTATGTTTGTGAGGAACTTTCTTTTGTCTATGAATTTCATTCAATGACAAAATATGTCTTATTTTATTTGTGCACAGACAAAATAAGATATGTTTTGTCTGTGAACGTGATTCACAAAAATGGGTATAAGAGTGAGTATAAGCGGATATGAATTGTTGTATATATTTAGGCGAAATTCATATCAAATAATCCTTACTTTTAGTGGTTCTACAATAATAATATCTATCGAACATGTCTATATAAATAATCCATACTCATAAACACGTCTACATAGATAGATTAGATTAATCTTTTTTATATTTAATATATAAGGATACAGTATTGATTTTGTTCACCATTGTCATAAATTTGAGTTTAGTGTTTTTTATATCATTACTATAATTATTTTCTTGAGGGATAATAATCTATCTATGAAGGTTTAATCTATCTATGTAGATATATTTACGAGTTTGGATTATTTGTATTGAATTTTCAGTAGAAATTATTATTGTAGAACCATCAAAAGTACGAATTATTGGTATGAATTTCACCATATATTTATTGATGGGCTTAAAGGGTCAAATAGGCCCCTGTACGTATACGAATTGCTCAATTCGCACCTCGAACAAAAAAAAAAGCTCCGGTCCGGTCCACTAACCAACATAAGTTGTTCAATCCCTACATTTACCCCGGTTACTAGGGCTGGGCACGGGCCGGGTCGGGGCGGGTAATGCAAAATAAAATGGAACCGCCGGTTCCATTGTACGGTCCGGTCCGGTCCGGTCCGGGTATTGCAATTTTCAAATATAGGAACCGGACCTTACCCGGCCCGTTTGAAACGGGTCGGTCCGGTCCGGGTTTTACGGTTTCTATTCCCATATCTTTTTTTTATCGTATTCCCATATCTTAAAATTAGTAAAAACTCACAAATTTCCAAAAATCAATAATTAATAATATAGTACATTAGCAACTTTCAAAATAACAACATAGTGGTGCACATGTAACACAAGTGACAAATCCAATACTTCATAATTTCATGTATATAAGTTCCAAACAACTAAAGTTCCAAAAATCAGCAACATAGCCAAAATACATACAGTATTTTCTAACATTTGAATTTAAAAATGTTGTACATCACATGCATGGGGGGGGGGGGGGGGGGGTAATCACAATTTATATATTTTAAGAACACATTTTCAGTATTTGTCAAAGTTGACACATACATGGGGGTGGTAATCACAGTTTATATACTTTAAGAACAATATTATAAAAACAAATATTACAAAATCATTTTTAACAAATAATTAAATTCCATAGAAAGGAATAATTCAATAACAATAAAAATAATAAGAAATTTATGTAAAATTTAATCAATAATTTGAAAGCAAAATGATGTTACTGCAAGTCAATTTAAAATCCTACTTCTAGCAAAGGAAAACAAAACTTTTTCAAAATCGATTATCACAAAACTATTAATATACAATATATATAACGGGCCGGGCCGGGTACCCGGTATTTTTTTATTTTGGAACCGGCCCGGGTCCTTAAAAAAAATTACCCGGACCTACCCGGACCGTTTCATGGCAACAAAAAATGTAACCGGCCCGTTTTGGACCCGAACCGCCATTACCCGGACCGGACCGCGGTTCCAAGACCCGTTTGCCCACCCCTACCGGTTACCTCCCGTTTTCTCCCCTTAAAAGCCCAGTCAGCAAGTTTTTCATCTCATAAAATGTTGACTCATTAATTCATCCCATAAAAGACTTGTTTTGGTGGGGTGGGGGTGGGGTGGGAGGGATTTACGCTTCAAGTTCTTGGATTTGCTGAGGGGCGTGTCGGTGGTATCTTTTCTCTCGGAGGTTGTTCGTTGGCGGCATCTTGATCATCTCCGGAAGCACCTTCCAAGTCAGGGGCGGAGCCAGACCACTGGGTCGGACTGGGCCGGTGCAAAGATTATTTTTAGGGAAAAAAATTACATGAAAGTTTTTACCTTGAAAATTAAGCCATTTTTTAAATTTGGGGTGGGCCAGGGCCTAGGTTGGCCCACCCCTAGCTCCGCCCATGTTCCAAGTTGTCACTACTAGATCTGCTCTCGTGCTCTTCTTCTCTGCCTCTCCTCCCAAGATTGTTATGACCGCCGCTGCCATTGTTACTCTCTGCAATTCTCGTCACCTCTCCTTGACCCTCCATTTCCGTTTGCTTCCAAAACCCAAAAAAAACATCATAATTTGATCAGTATAAACTCAGAAAACACAATTTACGGTTCTTTTTCATCCCCATTTTTAATTAGTGAGAGATATAAAGAGAGAGATGGATGGGCAAAAGATGTACAAGACCAAGAGAGAGGCCCGGGGTGTTGAACATGGACTTAGCAAGGGACTGAGGAACAAGGCAAGAATGAGAGACTGGACCACCGTCCAAAGAATCGCCTCCACCTCCTCCGCCGAATCCATCAGAAAAGCTACTATTAAGAAACACTCCGAAATTCGGAGAAAACGAGAGGTAATGAGTGGGATGAATTAATGAGTCAGCATGAAAAAATTGCTGACTGGGCTTTTAAGGGGAGAAAACGGGAGGTAACCGGGTAAATGTATGGATTGAACAAATTAAGTTGGTTGGTGGACTGCACTATTAGTTCAGGGTGCGAATTGAACAATTCATATATGTACAGGAACTTATTTGACTCTTTAGCCTTTATTGACGTGACGAGTAGCAGAAAGTCGGCTTGCATAGGCAGCTATAAGCCTATAAATATGGAGGCAGTACCCATTTGATTTCTCATAGCTTGAAAGGGCATTTTATTTGTTAAATATTGGTTCCCACTTTTGTTGGAAAAGACAAAAGAAGCAAAAAACACAAAATTAAATGGGTTCAATTCGACCACATGCAGTGTGCCTGCCCTACCCTGCACAAGGCCACATTAACCCCATGCTTCAACTTGCCAAACTCCTACACCACCAAGGCTTCCACATCACTTTTGTCAACACCGCCTTCAACCACCGCCGTCTACAAAAATCCCGGCAGGCGGGCTCCCTCCCGGAGCTGCCGTCCTTCCGGTTCGAGACGATCCCCGACGGCCTCCCGCCCTCCGATGCCGACGCCACACAAGACATCCCTTCTCTTTGTGAGTCCACTACAAAGACTTGTTTGGGTCCTTTCAAAGAGCTTCTGGCCAGGCTCAACGGTGACTCCGCCACGCCGCCGGTATCTTGCATCGTCTCCGACGGGGTTATGAGCTTCACCCTGGCGGCCGGCGATGAGCTGGGCGTTCCGGTGGCGTTTTTGTGGACTATCAGCGCTTGTGGCTTCTTGGGTTACATGCATTATGCTCAATTGATGGAAAAGGGTTACACACCTTTCAAAGGTATTTCACACGCATTTTTTACATAGAATTAGATGTCAAAGGTGCTCGAATCTACTTCCGAAAAACTGATTCTAATTATGCTTTTATTTTGAAACTTCTATTTTGAAAAAGCTATTCTTAGATTCAAGTGTTTGATACTCCCTACATTCTTAATTAGTTGTGGATAATATATTATGGGTATGGTAAATGAAAAATTGAAAAAAGAAATATTAAAGAGACGAAATAATGAAAAAACTAGGAGAAGAGAAATACAATCATTCTTGTTGTATTTCCAGACATTTTATATTATATCACCTTATACACACTATGCCTGTGAAGATATTTTGTTGTGAATCCAGACAAAATATCTTCTATTTTGTCTATGTAAAATTTGAATAGACAAAATAAAACATACAAATATCTTTTTTGAAAAAATACTTCATACGTACTCCGTAGTAGTTTGTAAAAAATATACAGAGTAGTAGTCGAGTACATAATCTATGTAATTTTTTGAAGGTACGTTCGATGATACCTTTAAGGTAAAAAATGATATAATGATTTGAATGGATGGAAGTTAACTTGTTTTTGAAATGATGATCTTCTAAAGCTTAAGACAAGCCAAAGTAGTTGTGTAAAATCAATGCTTTCATCTAGCCTCGAGCTGTCAAGCACTAATTTGCTACCCTACTACTCCGCATTTCGTACTTTTTCACACCGGTGTATAAATTTTTCCCTACAAATTTTCTACTACCTCCCTCCCCAATTGATTTGCAAATTTGACTTTTCTTGGTCAAACAGTTGCATTTGTTCACTTAATTAGGATGCCAATTTTTAATTATATTCTAATTTGGAGTTTACAACCTTGAAGAGATTTTGATGTAGTTTATGAATATGTAAATTTTATTTATTAAAAATTGAATTAATTATGCATAAAGAAGGTTGACTTTTATTATTGGTTGACCAAAAAATGTTGACCTTCCCAAAACAAATTGGGACGGGGGAGTATATGCGAGTAAATAAATTCGTATACCCTACAAATTTTCACACCGGCCTATATTAATAATTTACAACTCTGAAAGCCAGTGAATAAATTCGGAGGGTATTCTACTTCGAGTCTACGACTTCATAATAATGTATCAGCAAATTATATTATAAAAATATTTCGATATCTAATTAGAATTAAAGTTAACTTTAAATAAACGTGACTTTTTATTAATATTTACCAATAATCAATTAAAAAGTTAACTATATTAATGCTTGCAGTCTTGGGAAATTAATATAAACCCAATGAATGAATGAATGAATTACAATCGAAGTTGTTTTGAGTCATGTTTGAAATAATTTTCAAATGTGTATGAAAATAATTCAGAACTTCCTTAGCATAAAAATGGAGCCTACAACCAAAACTGAAAAAGTCAACCAACTAAACTTTGTCATCTTCTTCTGCACATTTACGTGTACGTAATGGTTTTGAAATTACGGAGTTGTTAAATAAGACCAAACACATTTCCACATCGCCGTAGTTTTATACTCTATAAACAGGTCGCATAGCCAAATCAAATGAATATTTATATGTTTTTATTCTTTTATTAGAAATAAACAAATCCTATATGTTTACACAATTAAGGTATGTTTGACAGAACTAAAGTTATTCTTGTGATTTTTTAATTAATTATTACTCCAACGGTCCAACCCTTTTTAGTATTAGTCCTATGATCGTATCAATGAGATTAAGAGGCTAAGAGCCCGTTTGGTGATCATGTTTTTCGACTTATCAGACTTATCGACCAACTTTTTCACCGACCACGTAAATTTTGATTATCATATTAGTTGTTTTTCGTATGATTCTTTCTTTATTTTATTACCAAATTATATTTAAATATAATTTTCAAAAAAATTAACAGAATCAGTCAATCTTACCACTTCTACCAGAACTTTATAAATTTCAGCAAAATCAACAAACGCAACTGATAATTATTACCAAGCGGGCTCTAAACGTTGACCAATAATATGTTTATATCAGAAAATATTTTATAGTATGAAAATGATACGAAATGTCTATTTTTAAAATAACTATCATAAAAGTGCAATTTTTAAAATTTTTACAAAAGTGTATAAACTAAATGACTAACCAAAGTTTAGATCATTAGAAAAGTCAAAGATTTTCAACTAAAAGAGATAGAGGTAATAGTTTTTTGGTTTTTTGAAAAGATTTTTTAAACTGTTGATAATATTAGGTAGCTATTTTGTTTAGTACGTAGTATAACAGTATGTACTACGTATTTACTAATCAATTCTAAAAGTTATGGTGTTAATGATAAATAAAAAGTTATCGTGTGAAGCATAGCATCGTACAAGTGAAAACTTTTGGATACATTTAAATATTAGGGAGTGCAAAATAATACTCCGTACGTAGTACTCCGTACATTTTAAATATTATGAAGAGTCTGTTTGATAACACCAAAATCGGTTGATCTGGCTGATTCTGCTGGAATTTATGAAGTTCAGACTGAAGTGGCTACATTGGCTGCAGATTCTGCTGATTTAAGGGAAAAAAATTTAAAATATATTTTATTAATAAAATAAAGAAAAAATTATATGTAAAAATAGCTAAAATGATCCCCTACAGTAACTTCAGCCAATGCAGCCGGAAAAGTAACTTTAACCTTACTTTTCCTGCTTATTACAAAATTTAGCGCGCGGAAGTAAAAGTTGCGTGTTTGGTGAAAAAGTTGGTTGATAAGCCTGATAAGCCGAAAATGAGGGTTGCCAAACGGCCTCGAAGTACAATATAAATCTAGGCCTTCCTCTGATGAAATAAAATTTGTCTTTTACTATTCAATTTTATTTAAAGTAAATTTTACACTACCTCCAAGATATTACTCTCTCCGTACCCTATTTAAGTTTTCGCTTTCTTTTTTCGGATGTCTCACACAAGTTCACATTTTCCCTTTTTGGCAAATAAATTTACATCAAAACAGTGCAAAACAATGTCAAACAGTGTCCAAACAACGCAAAATACAGTAAAGTCAAATTTTTCTATTAATATATGTGAAGTCAAACTGTGAACTTAAATAGGGTACGGATAGAATTTAAATAATAATAAATGATGAGATGATAATTTGGACCAACAAAATGAATGATTTGAACCAACAAAAGGGTACCACTCACTTTGTCTTTGTTTTTCATACAGATGAGAGTTACTTCACAAATGGGTACTTAGAAACAGAGTTGGATTGGGTAAAAGGCATGAAGGACATACGTTTGAGAGATCTTCCAAGCTTCTTAAGAACCACAAATCCAGACGAATTTATGCTCAAATACGTGATACAAGAAACAGGGCGAGCCAAACAGGCCTCTGCAATTATCCTCAACACATTCAATAAATTAGAGGAAGAAGCTCTGACCGCCCTTCAGTCAATGCTGCCGCCGCCCGTCTACGCCGTCGGCCCCTTACAGCTCCTCCAGAGAGAAATCGAGGACAAAACCGTAAAATCAATCTCATCCAGCCTCTGGAAAGACGACGACGCCTGTCTCGGCTGGCTCGACAAGAACCAGCCGAACTCCGTCGTCTACGTGAACTTCGGCAGCATAACGGTGATGTCGCCCGACCAGCTAGTCGAGTTCGCGTGGGGGCTGACCAACTCTAAAAAACCATTCTTGTGGATCCTACGACCCGATATTGTCGCCGGGGAAGCGGCGATTCTGCCCCCGGAGATCCTGGAAGAGACGAAAGACAGGGGAATGATCTCGAGCTGGTGCCCGCAGGAGAAAGTCCTGAACCATCCGGCGATCGGAGGGTTCTTGACTCACTGCGGGTGGAATTCAACTCTCGAGAGCATATATAGCGGCGTGCCGATGTTGTGCTGGCCGTTTTTTGCGGAGCAGCCGACGAACTGTTGGTTTTCTTGTACCAAGTTGGGGGTTGGGATGGAGATTGATGGAAATGTGGAGAAGGGGGCAGTGGAAAGGCTTGTGAGGGAATTAATGGATGGGGAGAAGGGAAAGGAGATGAAGAAGAAAGCCATGGAATGGAAGAGGTTGGCTGAAGATGCTATAAGTACCCCCAATGGCTCATCTTGTCTCAATTTGCAAAGGCTCATCAATGATCATCTTTTATCTCCAAAACGGTGTTAATCACCACATTCGTCTTGTTTGAATTATATGATTTGGTCTCTCCACCTTCTCAAAAAAAAAAAAACAGTTTGAAGAGCAATTTGGAATATCGAGAAATACTCCTTCGTACATTTCATCAAAGCATTTCAATACTTGTTTCTAATTTCTCCATATACCTCTGTAGTTTCTCTGTTTTATTTTATTTTAACGTAACGAGATTAACTCATTATTACTAGTTCACTTTCTACTTTTGCATGTTAACTAATCACTTTAACTGCTCATTATTGGTAAAACCTTGTACTTTCTACTACTTTTTCCCTTTTCATCTCTTATAGTTTTACCTAATTTGAGCATGTAAAATAAGAAATACGGAGTACAACTTGTTAGTTGTTACTTTGAAGTTTGTATAGAGATAGAGGTTGGGGGAAATGGGCAATCAGAAAAAGAAAGTTATCAAAATTTAAAGAAACAAAAGTAATAGGAAGTACGTAGTGATGTAGTAGAAGTATATAGTTAAATTGACTCCATTTGACACTGAAATTTAATTCAAATAATATAGTGACAACCAGTTGTACCTTTTGCACCGTACCAACAACATCCTGTGGCAATTTCGTAGTTTTTGGTGAAAAGTGCGGCTTCACTTGAATAAACAATATTGTAGTTTTGGTGAGCATCAAACTTAATCCTTTGAGTATTGTGTATAACAATGTTTCATATCTTCTAATTCGCTTTTTTTAATATTTTTTCTTTTATAAATATTTCTTAAATTATGTCTATAGTCAATTCTAATTAATTTTAATATGTAAATCTAGTGTAATATGATAATTTTAAAATACGCATTGATATGATATTTTAAAAATAAATCTAACATTAGTACAAAATGAGCATATATAATATCCATGAGCATATGTAACCTCTTGAGATATGCTCCGTATAAATTAGATGCATAAGCTCCCGCAATTTAAAAGGTGCATCAAAGTTATAATTATTCATGAGCAAAACCACATCGAATAATAAATTTAAATATTTCGAAATCACTTGTCTAACAACAATATAATTATGAACGGGGTTGGTACCCCTGAAGTATGTCAACACACTTAATGCACAAGTTGTTGTACATTGTTATTAGGATGTGGAACTCTATTTTTTCCTTTGACTGCTTTACCCTTACGGCCGTAAGTACTCACGTTAACCAAACTTCAGCCCAGCACATCTGCTTCATCAAGTAGAAAGCCGATCGATAGCCAAGCTATAATTAGCTCCCAATTCTACGGCCAACCCCATGTGCCTCTTGCCATTCCAGATTCCACCATCTTTATTTTATTTGATTTCTTCTAATATTCTTTTCTGTTAACTCAACTTAGCTCCTTTGACTTGTTATTGTATAATATGGAGTATAAGTAATGATGATATACTTCTCATTTACTTTATAGTTTATAGTAAACTTTATAAGTTTTAATTTTTGGAAAAAATATATTGTTACAATTACGGATTATATGTAAAAAAAAATAAGAAATGTTTCACATGTGAACTAACATACACAAATTTTCCATCAAAGGTCGATACTACATAACTAAATATGCGACTTAAATATAATCTTTTTTTTACTTGAAACACATATGATTGCAACCTTGTCAAGAATGCGAAATATTTATTGCTCATAAAACTGGTTTGTTCAAAACTATATGCATTTAGATGATATTTACATCGACATTCTTAATGTATTTCTAGAATATTGATTAAGGATGAACCACATAATCACATATTTTCCATACAATAATTGAGTGACATGGAATATAATTATTCCGACAATTTTTAAAATATACATAGTATACGATATGTAAAATTTCATTAACTATTTACAAATCTCTCATAACAATTTTTCATATAACACTTTTTTTTATAAAAAAACAATATTATTTTAATATTGGGCAACCACTCTCGTGCCTTGCGCGAGTAATCGCTAGTCTTAATAATATGATTAAATAGGATAATCATGTGCAGCCGTGCGCCATTCCTTTTCAAATGTATCTACCTCTAACCTTGATAATCTTGATAATATTTACCCTAATTTGAGAAAGGGAGTTTTTGAATAAATTATAGTTAAAATCACTTTGAGATATGATGAATTCAAATAATTGAATCGACATTTGTTTTAAATCGCGTTAAATTATTATTTCGTTCATTACCTTTCAAAACCCTCCAAATTAGAAGAACTTAAAAATTGAGCATTTAGAAAGCTTTCGAGGGCTACAGAGTCCACCAAAATCATCCACTCCATTTTTTTTGTGACAAGAATTTTTTGAACCCCCAAACATGAAAAATGATGGTCATACCTCCATCAATCTTTCCCCCCTCCAAAATCCTAACTCCCGAACATCCTAAATGGTTCTTATTTTTGAATAGTTCTCATTCTTGTTTTACTCATCCATTTCACTATCACTAATTTTTTTATTCAGTTTAAGTTATTGGTATGATAACTTCATTGAATACGATCTTATCTTAAATCTTAAGAATTGAAAATTGAAACGCTGAAACTTCTCATTATATTCTTTATCTTATCCTGCAACCTTGATCATATCATGTATAGTTGTATTTTCTTTTAAATATTAGATTGGAAGGCCTACTTTGAGATTTGTATTACTTTATGTAAGTTAATCATCTAACCACATCGGCAGATTTTAACGTATTTCATACGTACTACAAGTTTAACTCACACGAAAAATAATACACGAAAAATAATACTGAGTACATTAAAATTTGTATAATTAAAATTTATATAAAAGAGAGAAAATAATAAGAAACATAAATTAATTATTAAAAGGGAAATCGAGTAATCGACAAGAAAATTTATATGAGATGAAGAGAGTAAGATTTTTGTATTATTGTTTTGATAGAAGTTTCACAACCGAGGCCCAACGCACTTATTCAGTGAGCCGAGCGGTTGAGGCCCGGGGATCCTGATCTGCCACGGCTCGTTTACAGTTTCTACGTTTAACCACTGCTTGGGCATTCTAGTCACGCACCTCGACATTTTTGGGCCTTTAGCCCATACCTTAGAGCATCTCCAATGCTCCACTTTCAACATTAAAAAATATATGCCACATCATTTAAGTGAAAAGCCGTGTTAAAAAACTTGCTCCAATGCAATCTTTAGACTTTGCTGTTGTGCGTATGTGTCAAGCAAAGTGTCAAAGGCACTTTCGAATTTTACAAAGCCATTTAGAAAGGCTGAGTCAGCTATTTGGAAAATTATTTGAAAACAATTCCGAATTTTTGGTGAAAACTATGTACGAGTGGCCTGGGTTTGTGGAGGCGGTAAATTCGGATTTTATGTTTATCCATTACTGCTAGTAGAAGCAGCAGTTGTAGAAGCCTTTTTTTTTTACGTAACTTCTTTCTTTTGAATTGCATTGGAGAAGGTTTTGCACTTTCAATTTATGATGCTTCCACTCTCATCTTATGTGGCTTGACATTCCATACAATTCTTGCCATGTGTCCATTATTTCTTAATGTTGAAAGTAGAGCATTGGAGTTGCTCTTATACGGAGTATTTTGCTTATAAATAGCACCTTTCAAATGAGGAAAGAGGTCCCAATTATTGTTTGTGTACCTCCTAAAATTAATACGCATCTTTGTCATTTGAGAATTGCTTCAACATCTTTCTTGCTCCTATATATACAACCCCCGCTTCGATTAGGCATGACAATGGGTCGGGGCGGGGCAGGTAGTACAAAACCCAGACCTGCCCCGTACCTCTTACCCGTGGACCCCTGAACCGTTCGATACGATTACCCAGCACTCCAGCAGTGTTACAGTGTTTCAATCATGACAACAGTTTAGGTAATACAAACAAAGCGCCCATTTTTAGATTATCAATTCTTTTTTGAGTTTTTGCCATTTTTGGTCCCTCGACTATTATGTCAACGACACTTTTGGTACTCGACTTCTAATTGTTCCATTTTTTGTCCTTGACTATTGTGCTAGAGACACTTTTAGTCCCCGACTTCAAGGTTTCCCACATTTAGTCCCTGAGTATTGTCGAATTGACACTTTTAGTCCTCCCATTATGATTTTGACACAATAAGTGGAGGACTAAAAAAGTCACTATTATAATAGTTGAAGGACCAAAAGTGTCTCTAGCGTAATAGTCAAGGACTAAAAATGAAAAAAAATCAAAGTCGAGTACCAAAAATGTCAATAACATAATGTCGGAGGACTAAAAGTGGAAAAAACTCATTCTTTTTTAATGGGTTTTAAATATTTATAGGTATTGGCATTTATTACGAATAGAACAAATGTTACGCTAACTTATGATGTTAGATCACTCGACTTTGTACAAGGTTTTGACCGTCAAAGTATCATACCTTATTCACATGAATAAATTAAAATATTGTAGTTGTATAATTTTAGCATAAATAAATGGTGAAACATTAAATTGGATACTGTAGCAATCGACATAAAATTTATCCCTCTTTTTCCCATAAAAAATGAAGACACAGATCCCTCAAGTCTTGAATAGAATAAATACGGTGGACGGGATATAGTCTGTATATTGCAATTTGTCCCATTGGAAAGCTCTCACACATGAAAATTATGTTACTTGGATAAATTTGTCCCAATTAGTGATATCACATGGCCACATGGATGATAATTGATTAATAGCTGGCATTAACAACCAAGTGGATGAAGCAATTGGATTGAATCACACTAATTAAAGCTCCAATCTTAGGATTTTCCCTAATCAGTGCGCGTATCCAATACATGAAAATAGTTGAATTGGGAAAGAAGTTTTTTTGACAGAAGAAGATTAATTCATTTCATTACTAATAAGATGTTGAATACAATCCGAAGGATGAAAAAAGTCTTGACGGGAAGCATAACAGGTAGATGCCTTGGCAAGAGCATGTGCACTACCATTGGCTTGCCGTTTGGTAAAATTGACAAAATATTCATTCCGATTTTGTAACATTGTTTTGCATTCTTGTATCAAGGCGCCATACTCGGACGGATATCTTTTATCCAGTCTAAGATCATCAACAACTTGTTTACAGTCCATCTCAAACTCAACCTTTGTATGGCCCATTTCTTCCATCCACAATAGAGCTTGTAGCAAACTCCACACTTCCGCCTCACTAGGACTCATTCTAGCTCGAAGCCAAGATGTTCTTGCACCAAGAAATTTACCCATATGGTCACGCAAGCAAAGACCTGCCCCCACAAATCGACCACCTGCTATTAAAGCACCATTAACGTTGCATTTGACCCTCGAAATTGGCGGCGGTATCCATTTTGCATCGTTAGTT